AGATTGTGCCTGAAAAAATGCTATTCTCAAACGAAAGGTTAATACAATATCCGCTTACCAAACATAAACAATTATTCATACCAAAAATTATCTTTATGCTTTAAATAACCCACAGTGAATTAAGTCGTAAAAAATCAGTCTCCCTGTGCATTTTTAATTTTATGTTCTCTGGAGAACCCGTCTTTTATCTGGATCATAAGGGAAGGATATTATATTCAAATTAATTATTTGTTTCATAATCATTTTATTGTTAAAAATTTGTAAAATTAAATAAGAATTTCATCAGAAATAATATTGATTATCTAATTTGATTTTTTTTTCTTTTTCAGTTTATCAACATTTTGCAGTGGGCATCTCGGCGTGGTGTAATGGTTAGAAAGCTTGTCTCGTTGAAACAGTTACGGCTGGAGAGTGATTTCTATCCTCATTGGGCACCCCATAATTTCGGCCTGTGCCACATCTAAGGTACGCTTAGAAAATCGGTATCAACATTTTGCGGGTATATACAGCTTGGAAAATATTGTTAGATTATAAGAACTTTTGGCGTTAATAATGATTTACTGATAAAGTCTTAGTTAATAATCCATAGCTGGGGAAATGAATAGTGGATTTATGCGTTTTCCAAGTGTATTTCGGTATAATATAACGAACCTGACACGAAAATTGAACTCTGCTCTTCGATTTCCAATTCAGTGTAGTTATCCATTACACCACACACAAACAATCTTATAGCGCCTCGTATTCCTCAGTGGTGATCCATCTAGGTACTAAACAGTCTTGTTGCTTAACTCCATCTATCGTAAGAGAACCGGTGTTTCAACGTGATATATCCGCAAGCCTTCGGTGATGATAGATTTTATTCTTAATTCGACATTTTTATTGTTATTTTAAAAGTTATATTTTAGTGGTTACACGTATTTGAGCGGACGACAAGTTGTAAAACTACATCTAGTGATAGAATGTTAATAAAGAAAATGTAGACTCACACACACTGTTAAAACAAAACGAAAAAAAAAAGAAATGAAAAAAGACTCGGAAAGTTTCTGAGGCCAAGCAGTTTAAATAAGGACGCATCCACACTGTAGATTCTGTTACAAAGCGTGGGGAATGTTCGAACTCTGCCGAATGATATATATTCCAAATTAAATCTCTTAAAAGCACAGTCTGGTAGATGTGTTTTACAATACTAATAAATAGCAAAGCGTCTCTTCATGTGTAGTTGCCAAAAAGTAACGTTTGAAATAATAGGACATTTCAAATATTATATCTACAAGGGATGTAAGAAATAAACTTCTCAAAATCTAATATTTTCTCATTTTGTCTGAATTTCTAACAGTTTCAAACAAAAAAAAAATCTGCACATCTTTCTAAGCATAGATGTGGCACAAGGTCTAAAGTATGAAGCACCCAGTGAAGATCGAAATCACTCTCCAGTCGTAACTGTTTTAGCGAGACAAGCTTGCTAACCAATACACCACGCCGAGGTGCCCATTGCAAAATATTGATAAAGTGAAAAAGAAAAAAATCAAATTAGACAATCAGTATTATTCCTGGTGTAATTCTTATTTAATTTTGCAAAATTTTAACAATTAACTGATTACGAAACAAATAATTAATTTGGGGGATTTTCGAAGCTTAGCTTAGATGTTGCACAAAGCCGCATGTAGGGAGCACCCAGTGAGAATCGAATTCCCTACTCAGTTGACATGGGTCTAGCGAGACATGTTTGCTAACCATTACACCACGCCCAGGTTATATATGCCTACATACTAGAGTTAATCAAGTCCGACTGCGGCTGGTAGACATTACCTGAATTTTGATTTAAACTTTTAAATTTATTATGTTAGCAAATCTTGTATAAATTTCAAAATACCATCCTAAGTACAGGATGTTTCACAATTTTTGAAACAAAATAATCGGGCACAAATCAAGGGCTACTAATGATAGAGTAAAGGAAATTACATTTATTGAAAAGTAGAAGGATAACATTTTAGGATCTGCAACAATTTAGTCTCAATCATGAACCAAAAGTTTCAAGAGCAATCCTAGAATACAAGTTCCAGATGTCCACCGTTCAGTTAAAGGCGCTGTTGAATGCAAAGTTATTGATAACGCGTGCATATTCCTCCTGTGTGATCGCTTCAACCTTCCCAGTGATGGATACCTTCAATGCAACAATGGTGCGAGGGTTCTACTGGTAGATGTTGTCCTTGAGGAATCCGCCCAAGGGGAAGACATCTAGCGGAGGTCTTGTCAGGCGTGTGAGGTGCACATTCTGCTTAAGTTTTGCGGCTGATTAGACGCTCAACAAACTTTTGACGGAGCCATGCCATAATAATATTAGTAGTGTAAGGAAGAAAACCATCCTACTGGAACAACCTTTTCTCTTCATCAATGTCCTTACACTCCTCGAGCTCTCCCCATCTGAGAGACCGCTCCTTCGTTTTAACAATTGTGAAATGCTCTGTATATATAGCGCCATCTATCGGTGCAGAGCAATGTAAATCCACGATATCTGAAGGTTTAATACAATATTGATAGAATTATATTTGTATTGATAAAATGCAAAATGACATGATTTGCATTACGCATAATAGACTGGAATATAGTTTTGATAAAATGTCTGCGTAATCAGTTAGGAAACACATCGTTTATTTTCCTGTAATAGTCTCATTTCCGAGGATGATTAAAAAGGCTTCTAAGCACAGATTTCCTCTGTAATTATATTATTTTTTTAAGCCTTTTTTTCCTTCCATAGATATGTCTGAAACCTTTTAAGTGATAACTATGCATATTTAGGAATATATCAGAAGAATGACCACATCTTCCACAAACCTGGTTATAACTGAGAATATAATGAAATTCTTCTAGAAATGATAACAAATGTAAACGATTTTTTTCGAGTTTAAAAAAAAAATTGTTGCTAACTTTGAAAATAAATACAGCATCTAGCTTACTTTTTTCAAACTAAAAACTTGCTGTTCTGCATGTGCAGAAGAAATACGTCCCACATATATCTCCCAAAAATACCATTCACATAATGATACAGAGTGCGGAAATATACCTTCGACATTTGAACTTCAACAAGTGTCAAAAGTGTATAGCTAATGTCTTCTATGAAATAAATGCCATTATCAGTGTGTCACTGTGTCATACCTTTTTAAATTTAATCTTCGAAGCCGTAGATCAAAATACCATACCATTTTGGAAACTGACCAAGTCCCTGAACAAATTAAAAAAACATTTCGGGTCTGGATCTTAACCCACAATACTGAAAGTTTACATTCCCAAGTTTCCATTACTGTGATTGTTTTCGAATTCCGCCATCTTGGCTTCTACTGACGAAGACAATTAGAGGAACACAGCTTTCGAACTTTCAATCGCTCATATTCAAATGAAAACATTACTGTTATCAAATCAGTGTATTTCAAAATAAAAATGCCTGTGTTTTCAACTTTACTCTTAGAGGCCGTAGCCCAATATATCATACCATTTTGGAATCAGGCCGACTCCGTGAGAAAATTAAAAACATTCAGGGCTGTATCTGGACCCGCAATCTTGAAATGTATTTTTAAATTTTCATTACTGTGAATGCTTACGGCGGTTTTTTAACGTGATGGTTTTTTATGTATTTTTTTTTGTAATAAAACAATTTTTAAAACTTGGAAATAAATTGAGAAAAATCGAAATTAATTTCAAAAGTCATCCATAAAATAAAAATAATTGTTTGTACGGAAATTAAGGACCTACGTACATCAAATTGTCTTTAAATTAAGTGTCGACAGAAGAAATATCGTTGAAGTTTTAAAAGGTAAGATTAAATATTAATGCAGTGTTTAAACGCATCGACCAATTTTGATTTATTCTGTAGTATATTGGTGCTTATCGCATCTACTCCTCGCTACTAATTGTGATGAAGGCCCAATCAAGCGCCCTCCGCTATTAAGCTAGTATTTGTATATAGGTAAGATATATTATTTCTACCGCATCCTGTATCTAATGTCTTAACACTAAGTAGGAGGGATTTCTGGGAATTATATGTGGGAGGGATTTTTGCCCGACTCTGTATGATGAAAAATATTGACATTGCTCTTTCTTATATTTATCTAATTTATATTAGTATGGCTTTTGTAACACATATAGACCCGCGAATTGCGAGTGTGAAGCAGATTTCAGCATCAGTGTTCACCTTTGTACATGTACTTTTTTTTTGGGGGGGGGTGAAATACTTTTCTTTTTCCTGCCCCAAGTTATGGGTTAAATAGAAGAGTAAACTGGTCTTAATGGACACTGGATGCCATCTAGCCAATGCGAAAGAAAATACTGATTTCTAAACTATACAGAAGGCAACAGAAACTCCACTCAACTATGTTTCCCAAGAATGCATGGCAATTCACAAATAATAAGGAAAATGAACGTAGAGGCAATCATGGTAAGGCACATCTTGTAGTTGAATCGTGCCCTGATATTAACATTTAAACACGGTAGGAGAACGAAAAGATCAGTCATTCGTACGCTATCAGATGCAGTGGAATAGCTGAATGTTTGCTTCTAGTTAAGCACGTCTTTGAAGCCAGCTAATTAATCCGGGTTGCAGTCACCTGGTCAGGAATATATATGTTTATTCAACATCCAAAGAATCAATAATATACACGTTATATTGAAAATATGCTAAATGGATCTTAGTTACAAGTTCTTTTGGATTGTGCATAATCTTTCGTGATCACTTGTTGAAAAAGCCAGAACCCCACCCTCCCCAGTCACGATGTCATGTAACGAGGTGCTAGTACAGCCATTATTCCGGACAGTTTCATTTATCTAATTTTATCTGCTGGTATGGTTCCAAATCGTAGTATGTTTGTGAGACACTTCCAAACGGAGTTTCACGTTGGGGGTGGGGTCATCCACTGTATGATATTATAAAGTTTCCAGCCAATTCGAAAGTAGTTCATTAAGTCAGAATGCTTGAATTCAGATCAATCAGAAGTACGCCTATCAAAATGTACACTATTACATTATATCGTAACCTGTTAGAAGACGAACAGTTTGCGTTCCGCGATGTAACGATTATGCTATTTGGATAGTGATGGTGATGGCGTACATCCTATTTCTTATCACACAGCTTCTATTATATTTTTCTAGTTGCGAGAAAATAAATCGTCATAAATTAGCGCTGTAAAGAACACAAGAAAATTTGAAAAAAAAATTTACGCCAAAATAATTTTGAAAAAAAATCGTTTACCTTTGAGAACGAGACGTTTTGTAAAAATAACCCCAAAAATGTTTATATTCACTATTACCTTCAGGGTATTTTTTAATTTCAGATATACGTTCACTTTAAAAACACTCAGTAATATATATATATATATATATATATATATATATATATATATATATATATATATATGTGTGTGTGTGTGTGTGTGTGTTTGTGTCTGTTGTGTGTGTGTGCGTCTTTGTATGTTACACATTAACGTATTTATTCGACATCAAGATAAATTCACAAAAAGTCTCATCAAACAATATTTCTTTTTATTTAATAAGATATTTCTATACGAGGTATTGACATCAAAACAACCTGTATATCTATCTATCTATCTATCTATCTATCTATCTATCTATCTATCTATCTATCCACACACACACGTGTGCGCTCACGCACGCACGCACACACACAAACATATATATATATCTATATACATAAAAATAAAATTCAATGAGTTTATGTTTTTAATCGTGCATATTTTTAATACTTCAAAATTTATTATGAAATATGGTGTTTGCATATAGAACTATATATATATATATATATATATATATATATATATATATATATATATATATATATATATACACATACCTAAATATATATATATATATATATATATATTCTTTATTATATGATATTACATTTGAACATATGTAAGCACTACATAATTACATTCACATTTCGATGTATATCAGGTAGTGGTAAATGATAGTTATAAGAATTTCCACATTTATTCATAAACAATCTTTTTCCCGCGAAAAAAGGAAAAAAAAAACAGAAAATAAGAAAGGCAAGAAAGAAAAAAAAGACGTAATATATAGTCTCATGTAAAAATAAAAAAAATAAAAAATGTACTGTAAAAAAAAGGAAGAAAACAAAACAAAAGAAAAATGAAGGAAGAAAAATGGATGAAGAAAATAAGATCAAGAATGAA